TCATCCCTCTGAAACCCATGGATATACATTATATGTTTTAAATGTTTATTTATTATAATTATCCTATTTTCTTTGTATCATTGCAGAGGATGTGGAGGTTGACGTGGAAAGTATTGTGTTTGATTGTGTGGACTCTGAAGAACTGCACATACACACAGATGCAGACCACTGTTACTCAAGTTTGGATAAGACCTGGCTATGACCGAAGCCAACGTGCTCCTACATGGTACCTCATTTTTTATGTTGGAGGCAAAGGTGAAAACATTCCAAAAAAGCATAGGATATGTTACTGTACAATCGCTTGCTAATATTGACAGAGGGATAACATTAAACACTCCTGTCTTTTACACTTTTGTGACTACAAGCTAAATAATGTTGGTTATAAATGAACTGTGTCCATTTGCACTTAAAAGCAGTTAAGAGTCATTGGGTTTTTGTGTGGACGCCACCAACAGTCCGTTACTTTGCATTAACCTGCCACAAAGTGTTTTAGGCCTAAATCGACTCAGTAAGGGCTTATATTCAATAAAATTTTAACTTATTCTTTTCTATATTATACATTCTGCCTTAAATCAAATTAGGTGTAGTAATTTGTATAGCTTAAGCAGTAAATCCATACTTCAGTCTTGTGTAGCATGCACTTAAACTCTATTTTTGTATTATTGTTTCATTATGTAAATTCTGACATGTACCTTCTATTGCACAAACTACACATTATGCACTTGTCTTAGTCTGGGTTTAGGATACAGTAGATCAACTTAAAAACAGCAAATAAAGGGTCACATTTGCATATTTCTGCAGACAAATATTGAATGACCAAATATGGATGGTTAGGTGTGATTGACAACTGTTCCATGTTTAATTTAAAGCTAATCTGAAGATTAATTATGCATGTAACCATTTTCTGCCAACAGCACTTGTAAAGAATATGCAGTAGGTCATGTGCTGTATGTGTTATTCATTGCGTTGTATTTAATTCCACAAGGCAGTTTGCCTTTTAACTTTTAATGCAAGATGCCTTATTTACCATGTGTATGTATGCCTTCATTTGTTTCTTCACCCAGTAATATTATGTAGCAACTTTTGTACTGGTGTAAGCTTTTTATGAGTAAATATTTTCTATATTTATGGGTTGTGTTCAAATTTTGTGATTTACCTTTTGATTTCATGCTGTCATGACTTTGCCTTAATTATATAAAAGACAACACATTTTATGAAGAAAAATATTTTATTGATTAGCTGATACATATTGTGCATCACCAAATCAAAGTTAAGCATATAAAATAGGGTATCAATTTATACCCATCAATATTTCAGAATCATTTTTCTCAAGTTCTTGCAACCAACAATTTGTTCCATGAACAAAACAAAGCAAAGTCTTAAGTTTATAATTGTGGGTGACTCACCTTATTTTGTACTTTTGTAAGATGCAGTTAACATACTATACTGCAGGGCTACAACCAAAATTTTTGAATTAAGCAATAAATCTTGCAAATATTAAGTTGTTGTAAAGTAATGTCACTTGAGGACATCTCGATTGAGTATAATTACAATATACTGAGCCATAAACCTCTTACCAGAAGACATGTTTTGGAATCAGTCTATACCCAGATAACAATAATTTAATTACTAAATTTGAGGACAATTAATGAACTACTTTAAGCCATAGTGTATTGAATAACACTTGCCAGCTGTGTGTCATAAGAATCAAGGATGAGTGAAATTTACGGACAAAATGGAGGCAAAGGTTTGAGGAAGAGTTTATGCTGATGGCTTTAATTACTTTATGGAACCCAGAGCCACCTTCAACTGTTCCATAGCAAGATCCTTATCACCGGTAAATACTGAGATGGTTTCAGCCATTTACAGCAGGCCTTCATGGGCCTTTATTTGAGAGGCTTTCATACAGCAGTCTGCTTGTGACAGGACCAATTTGTCTTAAATTATAAAGACAGATTAGAGCAAATCTTCCCTAGTGCCAGCACCTCCTCTATCAGTCATACATGAAGCTCAAACGTATTGTTTTTTCTGAGCATGTGAGGCAAGTCCTTTAGCTTTCTCTTTAGCTGCCAGTGCAGTCTCCTTTGCTCTCTCTGTCGCTGTTTCTGCCAAAGTTCTTGAAGGCATTTCACCTGCACAAGTAAAATGATGTGCATATCAAAAAACTGAGGTTAATTTTGTCAAACTGTAGAAGCTAATCTCAACCAACCTTGCATTTTGGCCAACACATAATCAAAACCTTTCATTGTCTTTGTAACACTGGTTTTGAATCTTGCCAGTCCAAATTCCTGAAATGTAAAACACACAAAAAAGACATGCTAACAAATGTTTACAGTATGAAATATATTCACCACTGACATTAAGGTCGCACAGCAGGTGAACAGAAATATCACATTTAGAGATATCAATTTGAAATGTCTTCTGTAGTTTACGTACATAAATGTGAGATAAAAATGCAATACACATTTTTCATCATGTAACATTTTCATGAAAAATAAGGCATTTTATGTGTAAAACGGCCAAAGTTTTCCATTTTTGGGACATATAAATCTCAAAAATAAATGGAGCCTGGTTTAAATTGCTTCATTTTGGTTATCTCATGATCTCTTAATTTACTTTAAACTAGATCTTACTGAAAATGTGCTTTAAAAAAAAATATATATATATATATCTTTTTTTAAATAAATCAGTCTTAGAATTAGATCTCAACAAATCTTTCTCTATGATCTGTCAAAATTTTGTGATAAATAAGATTGGAAAGTTTGGTGTATGTAGGTGTTACTTTAAGGGATGATCATTATGTCCCTATGAGAGAACGACTAACAACTGTTGAAGTTACAATGTATATATAATATAACTTTATGGATGCATGTTGATTAAATGAAATATTAAAACATCTTTCAATGAAAGCTAGTATGGTAAGAGAGATAACACACAGAAAAATGTTTTGCCTGTAGTATGAACGCTGTGCTGCTGACAATGTAGCAGACACCTCTGGCTATTCTATGGATGCCAACACTTTAAATGTAGAATTGTTGTGTCATTTCGTTTCACATTGCTGACCTGAATTGCTCTTGAGAGACCATAAACATTGGAAGAAATCCAAGCTTCTCTCTTTATTTGAGTCCAGCTGCCATTCTCGGGGTTTATGCCATACTCGCACCGCTCTTCCACAGACTAGACAAATGGCCAAAGAAGAAATGTAAGACAGAGTAAAACTTATGAGTATTTTGTACATAACAGCAAGATGACAGTACCATCAGGCGAGCATGAGTGATGTTCCATGTTAGTGTTGTCATGGTCCGCTTTTGAGGGTCCACGATGGAGTCCTCAATAATGTAAGCTAAACTAGACATTTTCTTTGGAAGGTACCTCTCCATCCATCGAGGTGCTCGGCTAGTTTTGGTCAAAAGACGTCTGGAAATAAGGCAGTTGGATGGAGTGATCTCTCGAAAAATAATGTCCTCAGTCAACACATGGTTACTGTGGACAAAAATAAAACAATTATGCCTTAATAACACCATACCACAAGATGGAAGGTCAAGAAAACTTTTAGTTTCTTATGTAGACAGTAAATACTATTTTAACTACAATTACTACAACATTTCTCGCCTGCGCTTATGAACTATGTGCATTTTAACCACAGTATAATGACATAATACATTTAAGTTACAACAGGATGCATATGAATTTATCATAGGCTGATAATCAAAGGGGCACCCTCTGGAAACTTAAGCAAAATAAACATTATGATGGCAATCCTAAGCTGACTAAATATCACTTATCTCAAATATGATAAATTTCAACAATGTGCATTAAGTGTCCACTGCAATTATTTCATAGTTTCAAGTTCTTACTTCAATGGGATATGTATGATGTGAGCTCATGTGACGTCCTTACCTGTAAGGATTTGGATATCGCTGCCAAAACGCAATACACACTTGGTCCCAGGTACCTTTAAGTAGATCTGCACAGCAGAAATACTTCACCATTGTTCCCTATGTTTGTTTAAGTAGAGCCTGTAAAGGTAAGTATACAAATTCAACATGTTGTAAAGGCTGGTTTTCAATATATAACTTCATGCGTGCCAGCTTCCTCATTGCTGTCACATGTCATATCTGTCATATCTACTTAATATCGCATTATAACGTTGCAGACAGCGCATAGGCCAGTATAAGGCATGTTTAGTCCGTGCCAATACAGAGACCTAAACTGTCGTGTGTCACGTCCGCACTCTCCATCTTCTTAAAGCATTAGCACAGCTAGCACTGAGCAAACAATGTCAATGAACAGCCCAGCTTGCCCTGTAAAAGCTCTGTGTAACATTTTGTCAAATAGAAACCACTTTCAGAAGTACCTGCTGTGCATAGACGGCGGTCAGAGGATGAGTTCTATCAGCATTTTCAACTCGTTCAGTTGACAACTTCTCCATTCATCCAGACGAGCTGAGCACACGCCAAACGTGTCATACGTGAGAAAGCGAGAGGGAAGGTCAAACACAACGTCATATCCGATCAAAGATGCAGTGCTCTTTGTGGACTGCAGGGGGCAGCAAATACTGTCAGACCACCTATCGTGGTCACTAATGAAATAGTGTGCATCATAATAGTGTTGATATGCCAAACCAAAGTAAACTGAAAAGTTTATTTTATTTGACACATGAGGCACTACATGTTTCTGTTTTATGGCGAGATTCAATGCCATTGAAGATAACATAATTTTTTAAGAAGCCTGTGACGAGTCAACTGTCCCAGTTAATATACAAACAAACAAAAAAAAGATGGAAAGAAAAAAAATAAACAAATCATCTTTTACATTCTGCAATGTAGAGACTAAATTCACTACCACAATTCAGAGGTTTCCTTCTTTGGAGCAACAAAGAATAAACTGAATTCTCAAATGAGAGTTTTTTTCTTTCAGTGAGAGTAACATATGACCATAAAGTGCAAAACGACAAGTAAACAATATAAAGTATAAATAGAATATATCTTTTAGAAACATTGTCCTTGCAAATGGAGGTATATGGCACAATAAATTAGACAAACAATACCATTTGAGCACATTTAAGAGCTACACTACAGTATCCTAAGGTTAACACATTATATAGACATTTAAGATATTTCATTATCATGGAAAATGGAAGCAGAGCAAATGTGCATGCAAAAAAAGCCTACCAGTAACAAGAGAGATTAAGAGCATTCAAGTTTAAAGGCTTCAGTAAAAGATCTCTATACCATTGGCCATAGCAGAGTGGTATTTTAACTGCATTCTACATTAGAGATTATATTTCAGACAGCCGTTGGTGGATGACCACCATTTCTACCATTCAGAGTCTGTCTTCTTGTAGACCGAGTCCTAAAAGAGCCCTCTGGGTGAAATGAATCTGGCTTGTCTTCACAGCGGAAAACCATGAGGAAACCATTTCTGTAGTTTTTATTCATCCAGCCATACAGCAGAGGGTTGGTAAAAGTTGAACACATTGCTACTATATGAAATACAGTGTATATGAGTTTGTACTCCTTGAACCTGAGGACTAGGTCCAGATCACTGGCCAGCTGAAAAGCATGGAAAGGTAGCCAGCAGATAGCAAACACAACCACGACCAGCGCTAACATCTTGGTGGTTTTCCTGCGCCGGTTGATGCTGTCATTACGTGTGGATGGGCTGATGTGATTCTTTAGCTTCACCCAAATGCAAATATAAGCATAACTGATGATTGCTAAAGGTATAATGTATTGTAGAAGGAGCATAGAAAGACTATAAATGATACTACTGGTTCCATGTGGCCACATCTCAGAGCAAACAGAGATGCGGAGGTTAATTGAAAGGATTTCCTCATGACGATATTCTCTGAATATGGCTAAGGGTGCAGCCAAAACAGCAGACATGGTCCAGGTTAATGCCATGATGATTAAGCTTGAATGCCAAGTTAGTCGTCTGCCCAGGTGAAACACAATGCAGCGGTACCTCTCCAGAGCTATGACTGTTAAAGTCAGGATTGATACATGCACACTCAGGGCCTGAGCAAAAGGAACTGTGTGACACAACAAAGCTCCAAACTTCCACTCATCCATCAGTGTGTAGACCAGAGTGAATGGCAAGCAAAAGGTATCCACTAGAAGGTCTGCCAGTGCCAAGTTTGCAATAAAGAAGTTGGTCACAGTTCTCATATTTTTGTAACGCACAATCATGTAAATGACAAGAGCATTTCCCAATAGTCCCAGAAGGATGATGAGAGAATAAGCTGTGATCAGTGTGATCTGGACCCACAGGTGCTTAGTGATGTCTGTGTAGAACCCAGGGGGAAGTAAACCTGTAGAGCCATTTTGGAGCATCAAATCATGAAAGTCATATGCCTCCCCTTCTCCTGTGCTGTTGGACAGGTCCGGTGGACTCATTTTGACTGAAGCCCCTTAAAGGCAGCAGGGACACCTAAACAATATAAAACAGATTATGTAAGGAGTGCAAATTGCAGTAAACACAATGAAATATCTCAGAAATAAGTTACATTGTACATCGTATGCAATCTATTTGATGGCTGTGATGGTGAGCACAGAAAGTCCTGTGAAAAGTAATGAGATGTGAATGTACTACATGTACAGTAGGTAAAATTATGGCAATTGAACTGAAAAATGACTCATGTGAGTGGTTGCCCCAGGCATGGGTAAATTATATGGGCATTCTGAATTGCTCATAAATTGAATGATCATTTGAATAAGCGAATTAGAGAATGGATGATAATTTAAACCTGTGCACACAAAGCAGACATTTTCAACACAATTCCTCTCTCTCTATGTACTTTTCATGTATTGCTCATTTCATGAAGTTCCCTGAATGAAAAGCTGTGTTGAAATAATTTGAAGGGAATGTGCCAGGTTAAATTGGCTCTACTGCAGACTGACATTGTGTCCTTAGGCAAGTGATTGGTGTGCTGATCAGAGGGACTGATAGCAGAAATATGCAGCCTCACTTCAGTCAGTCTGCCCCTGGGTAGCTATGGCTACTGTAGTACCAACATTAAGTAGGCTATAGTGAATAAATAATTATAATTGCTTTGGGTGTTTTGAAAGGCACTAACAGCACTCATATCTTTATTAAGACCCAGTATAAGAATTATGGTAAAAATCATCCATTTTAAATATTAACTTTGTTAAAATATATAGCCGAACTGTCATTTGACTTGTGACGAAACAAATTAGTGTAGGCTATTTAATTTATTTGTGTCAGTTGTTTCTAACAATTACCATTTTGTAATTGAGGCAACAATTGAGTTTTCTGAGTGACCAGCTGATTGATATGTTGCCCATTCCCTATGGATTATCGTGAGCAACTGTAATAATGGCGTGTGCACATGCATCACACAGAAACTACATTCATATTGTACATTCTGTTTTAGACAGCCTAATTGCAAAACGACAGCCGCTCAAATTTGAAGAGGAATCATGGAGTTTTTGCATTGCCCTAACACCAAAAAACACAGGCTACGAGAGAAGCACACGCTGGGCAGACTGCAGACATGTGCACTTAAAAACGGTTTCCCAAAGCAATCCTTTTGCAGGTATGAATCTATGACTCGAAGCCCCTATAAGGACTGCCATAGCCACCTTACATCGTACATTACAGTGCAATTTAAATAATCCAAAAAGAAAAGCTTATGAAGAAGCGCAATTAAACAAGAACCAGTGCGCTCATGCGTAATATTTCGCCACTTAATTCAAGTTTGAATGGTACCCGAAGTTTGAAACATGCGATTCACTACATGGGTATATTCTGTGCACCTGTCTGTCATGACCATGGCCAAAGCGGGAAAAATGCACTTGTTGGCAATGTAAAATCTTTTGCTTAAATTGAATTAACACCAACATTTCACCAACACGTATTGCAACGTCTCAGAACAACCGCGAGCCTGATTTCGCTTCAAAAATAAAACAACAATTTAATCCATGGATTAAGACTCACCTTTCCCAATGTGTCCTTTTGCATGCGCGTCTTTACTCTCGAGTGAAACTGGGGAAAATCCCGAAGCTCCTCCCAAACTGAAACGCCGAGTGCGCATCTTGAGCGTGCACTGAGCGCTCCAGAGGCTGATCTATGGATGAACTGACAGTCAAGCACCCAGCAATGCAATCAAAGATACTCATTGGTTTATTCATTGGACCAATGAGATTACCCACTGAATTTTATACATGAATGGAAACAATACACAGAACCAAAGAAACACATTTTTGCTGATTTTCAAATAATTCAAACCACATATTCTGTTGGCCAATATGTTAGCAATAATGAAGAGATTTTATTTGAAAGTAATTTTGATGTTGTTGTGCAGTAAGGTATGATGCAGAAACTTCCATCAGCGTTATGTAATTTAAACAATTACAAGGCTAAAATGTCCATTGCATTTATTTTGTGAGATGTTTCTTTAAATAGATAAAAGTCCAGGGATGACGCGTTGTTATTTTTGGATTGAACCAAAGACTTCTTGTACATTCATACTTTTGTCTGAAATAGTCTAGGCTTTTTTTTTTTTTTTCAAAACTCTGATCCAACGATAAGATGTGAGTCTAGAATTAAACAAATAGGCTACACAAGAGAAACACAATTTTCCTTTGAACCTTCTCTTTTTGCTACAGATTTCAATTTCTGCAGAACAGATAAATTGATGATGCTTTAAGAGGTCCAGTGATTGACTTAGCTTTGGTCATACATTTTATTGCTTTGGACACACACTGTTTTTCAGCCTCAATGTATGCCTTCAGAGCATGATTGTGTAGGTTAAAGTCAAATGTAGAAAATTTTGAAAATTAATCTATTTTTGTGGCTCCTTTAGAAGATTCCTTTTTTACCTGTGCTGGGCTGGGCACTCCAGCATACAGTCTAATTAGAGAACTCCTCTCCATATGGCCAGGGATCCATTCATCTGATCTCATGACCAGAACTTGTGAACACATGAGGTTCATTGATTTGATTAAACAGCATTTAAAAAAGCTGTTTACAACATGCCCTTTTAATGATGTTACACCAACTATAGTCTCATGCATATCATATCAGTATCACCTTTTTGTTAAACATCTCTGCAGTGTTATCCAGAATGTTGTATTCATTTAAAGGTGCACTGTATAACTTTTATGGGGAGGATCTGCCACCTGCTTGTGTCTATGGTGATGACATGTTCCACCGTATGGAGTTAAATAAATATATATTGTATTTATTTAATTACAGGTGTTTATTTCTCAAAAATACAGCAAAAACATGCATTATTACTGTAAAGCAGGTCCAATTCTCCACAGATCTGACCTGTAACTTGCCTTGTAACCTGTCCTGTTGATGTGGTCTGCTTGTCTCCAGAGATAATTAAAATGAAATGCCATACTGTAGAGTCAAGTAAGTACAGGATCCTCTACCAGAAAAATTACAAAGTGCACCTTGTAGGGTTCGCTCACACTTTGTATTTGGTCCCAAACTGGCACCCCATCTTAGCTCTAATGTGGACTTTGTTTGGTCCTGTTCTAGTCCTGATCTAGTCCAGGTTTAGTTTAGGGTTTTGCAAGTGTGAAAGCATACACAGAAAGAGAGCAAGCAAAGTGACAGCCCCCTTCTTTACATTTCTTTCAGGTCCAAAAAGATGTATTTGATGATTCATGTTAAAAATGTACTTTTGTTTTTACATAAGTAGGTAATTTTACAGAAGTACCACTTTTTGAATCTCTGATTGCTGTGCCTGTTTCTTCTGCTTCTTTTTACAAACCTGACACATGGCCTACAGAATGCACCCAATGGCAGATGACAGCTTTTGATTCTATCACAATTAAAACACTGACTCAAAAGGGTGGCTACTTTGTGAAGTCTGCAAATTGGTTTTTCCTCTGGCAAACATGCGGTATGCTCCAATTACACTTCTCCCTGAATACTCCTTTTAAGTGTGGTCAACAAATGAATGCAATCAAGCTACTCCACCAGTCAGGGGACCTTTTTGTTTCATTTCATTTGAGTAATTTTGAGCATTTCAGTTCACAGCAGAAGAACAACTAGCAAACTAAGGCAACTGTAAGCTTACTATTCTAAAACACAATACAATGGTGGAAATAACAGTAGGCCTACGTTGCATGACATGAAAGAAAAGAGCATGATAAAAGATAATACCCTCTGTTTCTACCTTAGAAAACTGACAAAATGTGTATATATATATATATATATATATATATATATATATATATATATATATATATATATATATATATATATATATATATATATATATATATATATATATATATATATATATGATATGATATATATGTATATGTGTATATATATATGTGTGTGTATATATATATATACACACACATATACATATATACACATACACATTTTTATTTTTTTTTTAACTTTAAATCAGCTTTACAATAAAACACGGGGAGTCCGGGACCAATCAAATGATGTGGATGTCGCACATGCGCAGTACACGCAGTTTTTTCCTGTTCCTTGGTAGTGACAGAACAACAGCAGAAAGACCAGATGGAGGCACTTTGAAGTCTTTCTACAGATTTTACTCCGCATAACAATCACTGTAAGTTCACCAAAGTGTAAAATTATTCTTTGTTGTCATTCTTTTGTATTCATATTCATGAATATATGTCGATCTAAAAGCCTCATGTTTACTAGCTTGCATGCATGTACCCTGTGCCAAAACAAAACATTAAACGTGACCAAAAGCTGTTTATTCTGCGCATACCTCAAGTCCCGTGATTGAACATCTGGTTTAAACGTTTGTAGAAATTAACTGTGTCATCCACTTTTTTGTTTTATTTTTTAAAGCTTACACATGATTACAATCGAAAGTACATTTTGTTCTTTGATCCGTTGACTCTACGCCAGTCACAGGTCTGCGTGCGCATAAGTTTCTGTTTCTTTTAAACTGTCCTTCGTCTTTTGTGTGCGCAGACTTTTTGAAGAACCAAACCCTTCGCCATGGCGTCTGCTGAGGGAAACCTACGAGAAGAGCTGACATGCGTGATTTGCTGTGACATGTTCCGAGAGCCCGTGATGCTGGCGTGCATGCACCGATTCTGTAGACCGTGCATCAGTAGGTACTGGAGGGGGACTCAGGGCCCCGTCACGTGCCCACAGTGCCGCAAAGAATTCAACAATACACAGCTACAGACTGACTACCTTGTAACTGCCATGGTAGAGAAGGTCAGAGGCTCCTGCTCTTTTGTCAAGAACCATGAGGTACGTTTTAACAGTGTAAAGGCTTTCTCTTTTGTGAAGACTTACTCTTCAAAGCAAATGTGTTCACTTTGCTATAATTTTGTTCATAGAGATTTGGACTTTGCATACTACTACTACTTTTACTACAACAACTACTATTACTACTACTACTACTACTACTACTACTACTACTACTACTACTACTACTACTACTACTACTACTACTGTTACTACTACTACTACTACTACTACTGCTACTGTTACTACTAATAATAATGCACCATATCTAAACAAAAAATTATATTTTGTTAACTGGACAGTTGTGTGAAAACTAAGATAAACTTTTGTCCAGTTGATAGAATTGAATTTTTCTTTTGGATCATACCTGGAGGACTGAGGAACTGCACAGAATACTACACAGTAACAACTGTGATCCTTTACAAATATTTGTCAGTCAGGTGCATTTATCATCAATGTTTGACTTCACATCTGTATTTATTTAACACTAGATCCACCCTTCAACACATTCTACTTGGTCATTCTACTGCTCGAAGCAAAGTTCACTCAACACGTATTTCTCCCATGTATTTGACTTTACTTACACAGTGCCTCCCAGAAACCTAAAACCTTCTTTACATTTTAATGTTATCCAAAACTCAATATCTAAATTTTGTTGGATATTATTATTCATGCGTACATTCTGCTTTGCTTTTTTGTTTTTTTGTATTATGGATTTTGTCTGGATACCATGGTAATTCATTTTGAAAGATTTTCTTAAATTATATTAGGTCACCTTTTGGCATCACATAGTTCTTTTGAAAGCTTAATGATTGCCTAATTAGCAGCATAATTAAATTCGCTATGGAGTAATGAAAGCATTTTGGGTTAAGCAGAGAAAAAGCTCTTTGTTTTCATGGTCACCCACTGCTTTGCTTTCACTTATTGTTACAGAAACAAGTAAAAGAGGCTTTGGACAGTCACCGGCAGAAAAGAGAGGACATTATCAACATTATTCACAAAGACCAAGACAAAATGGATACCATAAAGGTACTCTCTTCTCCTGGATCCCATGAGACGGCAGCACTTAACAGATAAGGCCACATGCCCCTCTCTAATGGCTGTTTGCATTATATCACCGTGTAGTTACAGGTGTTATGATATTTTCAGCATAATGCTCTTGTGTTTGGGTGTGTCTTAACTCAATAACCGGTTGTGCATTCCTGTTATTGCACAGTCTCACAATCATTCATTAAAAATGTATGCATCAAGTTGTGCAATTCATTATTAACTTATAATTTTAAATCATCAATGTAATTGAAAGGTCCACTGCCAACCCTGTCAGTAAAGCATGCGGTGTGGAGCAGAATTCTCACATTGGAGGAATAAACTGACCTTTTTGTGTGACTGAACCACATATTGAATAGTTTTGTTTTATTGAACCAATTTAAAACTTGATCTGTCTATACAGATCAGATACAGGAAAGTGTGAAATTGTGTTTTACGTTTTTCCCATATTGCCCAGCTCTACATTAAGTATAAAACAGATTGCACAACACAGCTGCTCTCAGCTAGTGTTGACTGAAACAAAAACATCTGATGTGTGTGGCAGATGGACGATAAAGGCAGCACATGCCATGGTGCTGAAGAGGAAATCCTCAGACATAATCATTGTTTGATGTTCAGATCTCTGGGTGATAAGCCTAACACCTCCTTCTATGTGTTTTGAACCAAATATGACTTACAGTAAAGGTCAGTTTTTGAATGGTGTGAAAAAACAAAGAGTCCAAATGTGCAAATAAACGAAAACAAATCCATACAGCCCATATACTCAAAACGGTTAAAAGCTAAGCCTAATAACAATTCCATAAACTTCCATAAAAGTGGTAGTTCGGTTTGCTTTGAGGAACTTTGTAGTTCTGGACAATATGACAAAAAAACATTTACACGTACAAATTGCTTTCATTACAATGTCCTGAACAATAAGAAGGATAAATCTGAAAGTCTGAACTTTGCTCCAAACCACATGATTTTAATGACAGAGGATTAAAAAGTCCCACAGGTATATCACTGACAATAAGAGATGACTGAATGTTGATCTTCATTACTATTAGATGAATTGTCCAGCCCTACAACGTTGTGCTGAAACTTTTGCACAATGTTCTGTAATTCATTTTACATTACACATGAAATCTAATAATGATGACATCTTATGACATCTTTTAACCCTTGTAAATTATTAAAACCTAAATCTCTATGCAGAGATTGTCAGCGGAACTTGAAGCCCATGTGCATGAGGAGTTCAGAGCTCTTCATCAGATTCTGCAGGATGAGGAAGACTATGCCCTTGAGCAGCTCAAAAGAGAGCAACAAGAGGAGCTGGAGAAGGTCCACCATCACCTTGAGCCCACAGAAAAAGCCCTGAAGGACCTTGAGGAGAACATTAAAGTGCTTGAGAAAGCCAGCAGCTCCACTGAACAAACTACTCTGACCCAGGTAAAGAGTAGGCTTCAATTAGCAATAGTCATTACCCATAAAATCTATGCATGTCCCCAGGGAGATGTCGAACCTCAAATTACTCTTGTTTTCTTGCATTTGAACGTCACATGATTTGATTTCATTTGAAACAACAGTAGCTAACATAATTTTTTGTGTGTTTCCTTTTCCCAGCTGCCACCACTCAGGTAAGCTTCTACTTATTGATTTAGCGCTTGTGGCATTTATACCCCTGTCAAATATTTATCTGATTTTATATGGCCTATTTATATCCTCTTCCATTTGTCCTGACAACAAATGACCCGTAGTGGCTGCTAAATTAATGTTTTGTTTTGTTCCTGATAGGCCATGTGTCCAAGTGGAATTGGCTCCAGACTTTGATGCAAATGCTTTCAGCCACAAATATATAGCCCCATTACAGTATATCACATGGAGAAAGATGTACAAATCTTTGAAGCCAGGTAATTTCCTCTGTGTGCACCTCATTAGTTGCCAGTATTCAGCTGAAAATGAAACATGTAACAATAGCAGTATTTAATCATACAATCACAACTGTATTTAATAAAGATGCTAAAGAGACTCCAACAATAGGATGTTCCTATTCAAATCCTCTATTGTTAATTTGTTAATTGTTTCACCTCTAGGTCCTTCTCCATTAACGTTTGATATCAACACAGCACATCCCAGCATCACCATCTCCCCTGACAAGACAGTGGCCGTGGAGAGTGATACCCCAGTTCTTTACAAAGCACACCAGATGCGTTTTCTCCAGTGTGTTAATGTACTGGCAACACAAGGCTTCCACACAGGCCGGCACTACTGGGAGGTGGAACTGGGATCCAAGTCCAAGTGGGATCTGGGAGTGGCCTCTGAAGCTGTGGACAGACATGGTCGCGTCAAGCTGAGTCCAGCAAATGGTTACTGGACGCTCAGGCTGCGAAACCAGAGTGAATACTTTGCAGGGACACAGCCATGGACACGACTGCACCTCAGCTCCCCTCTGCACAGAGTAGGTGTGTTTCTGGATTGTGATGAAAGAAGAGTTTCTTTCTACAATGCTGATGATATGAGCCTCATTTATTCATTTGCCAATGGGCCTCGGGGCAAGGTGTTCCCCTTTTTCAGTCCATGTATTAGTAATAGTCCAAAGCCACAGCCCATCCAGCTGCTCCACTATCCCCCAGTCGCCTTGTCTGGCTAATGTGGTGTACGAGCTGCACATTCACGTATTGACCAAAAACTTTTCTGACTCAATAATTATAGGTAATTGTGTTGTCTTTAGAGATTCTCTGCTGAGTGGATATGTGCAGGTAGAAATTTTCATGAAAAGAAAACATGAACTGTAATGAAGAAATTAATTTGAGGGAAAAGAAGGAGCTATGTCACGTCAACTAAGCGCATCAACTTGTATTTTAGCAGCATCACATATTTAATCAGTTCATCTTTGCCATTATAATTTGACTTTGACTTTCTTGTAAGGCTTTAGTCATCATACATCATTATAAGGAAATCGGTGTTGAAATAATTTAGATCATATTTGTAATTGTTTTTAACTTGTATCACTTTTGTATATCATACTATCATTAATTAATGTATTACTGTTATACAGTATTTAGGATGAAAGTTTGTAACAAAGACACAAGTATAATCAGTTAATAGACTGTAAATGTGCTTATGATGCCAAAAATAAAGCCAATCATGTTCTGTACATCAAAAGGAAAGAGCCTGATTCTTTTTGCAGCTGTGACACAACAGCACATAGATGACCCCACTTCATAAAACCAAGGATGTTATTAAGAATCATCAAAGTGAATGGACCAGCGCTGTCGCTTGATGAGAGTCCAAACTCATTTAAAACATGTGACTGTGGGAAGACCATGTTGACTCTTTTGCACCTGGACCGAAGCTTGTGAATACATGAGCCATCTTCTGACATTTAAACTGCACAAATAGGACAGTTTTTGGTTATCTGCACAAACACACAGAGCACTAGCGTCCTGTTTCCTCCTGCCAGGTGAAGGGTCAGATAAACAGCGTGGCCCTTGGGGCAGACTACAGCAGGATGCTGCTGCCTCTTCTGCTGACTGGAAAGTGTCACAATCAACTGCACCCAAATGAGACTAGAACTTCCTGCATGCTGGCAACGTGGGTGTGCTAATGCAGATGCAACAGAGAATCAATCTGTTTAATCTTTAGATTTGTGAAGAGAATTTTTCACTCGCCAAACTAAACAACTGGAACAAGGTAACTGAAACATTGATAGTTTTCACACAAAAGAGCTAATCAAAGAGCTAGTAAGAGGTGCTGGATAGATCTCTTTAAACATTCTGGCTTTTTTGGCTTTTAAGCAGTCGCAAGGTGGAGAAGTAAATACGAATGTGTTTGAGTGATGTGAATGTTCTACAGCTAAACTTCACAACAACAACCAAAAAGAGCTGTTCAAAGTAGCACACGGGCATGAACTTGACCACGAGTAAAATAGGCAGAATTTGTCCACATCCAACGGCCAGCGGTTGTGGGCCATAATGTGCTTCCTGAGCTGAGGATGGGCCGGATGGAGCTTTGACACTTCAAGGACAGGGCCTTGAGTCAGTGCTGTCTCTGTGGAGCCAGCAGGATTCAAACAGAGCAAGAGGGGCAAGTCTATTGTTTACTAAAACTACTGTTAAAATGCCAGTGTTTGCACTTCATGATGTGTTTATTCCACTATTTACTTATTTTTTTATAATAGTGGTGACACATAATTAGCTCAATACTCCATTTATCTGCAATCCGAGGGCGCTGTGGACCAACTACCAGGGGACCGCTTTAATGACAACATTTTATTACTGCAGCGTTTGCAGGTCTTTAAGGGGTGCTATAAGGAATGTATGGGTTGCTTGCAAAAAACAAACAAACAAAAAAAACAGAATACTAATCCACTTTCAGACAGTGGGCAAGCAGTATCATTTGTTTAGCAGTAGGAGAAAGATAATTGATAATTTAAATTCCCTACTATTTTACCAGTAAAAGTGGGACTTCCACCTCCAGGAAGTTTAGTCTTTTGCTGGGAAAATTGGGCTACAAAGAGATTATTATTCTGTGTTGAACTAAAGTGAAAAATGTACTTGTTTCAGAAGGTGACTGTTTTAGCTTTGTGCTCTTTTCAATTTCATAATAGAACAGAACAGCTCAGTTATATCAGGCTGCCCTTTCACACTTGGAGCTTTCCTGAAGATGAGAGAGGGCTGGCCTGGCATGGTTGGCAAACATCATCTCTGGGGTTAACTCAACTTGGACAGTATGTAAGAACACACTGGTTTGACCCTGGCCAGAACTAAACACAACCTGCTAGTGGACAACTCTCCAGACACCAACTCAGTCGTGGTGGTGCAAATACAACTATTCCTTTGTGATTTGAATCAGCCGCCTGTTAGCTGATAAACTGAGGGGAACATTATGTTTTTACAAATAAACCAATGTTAAAGCCTAAATAATTCTTAGCTTACAAACGCAGTAGCCGTACGGAAAAAGACTATCACCCTCATGTTGGGGTCTAACGCGTGCAAATGCAAAAAGTAATTAATGTCATAAAATGCTTTCAAACAACATCATGAATAAACTAAAATGAGTAACAGAACATGTAGGCCTACCTTTAGGGCGGAAGTCATTTTATTATATTCTAAACAGTATTGCAATACTGCCATAGTATTGCATGAAGGACTTCTTCATATGGGCCCCGAAAGTACTTTTTGTAGACAAACTTCTGCCACATTCAATATATGACTATATAAATTAATAATAGGCCTCCATTTTAATGATAGGCCTAATAATTATGGGTGGATGTTGTAATAGCACTTGTCGTCCAGGTAGAATCCATGGCAAAAGAAGAAATTCAATTTGTCAACTGGACAGGAAAAGTTTATTTTGGTCGAGTACGTATCGCAGCTCATCCAAGCTGCTTCTTCAGTTCTGAACAGCCCTAGTGTGTGTTTTAATCAAATTCTTAAAATCTCTAGCTAAATCTCTAGACCCATTAAATCCAAGTTATATTTGGATACAACTTTCCGTCTGGTTCCTATAGGCCCCACGATAGATATGCCAATGCACGTGTATCAGTGCTTAGCTCATTGATAAGAGGTGGGCTAAGACTTGTCCAAAGTGTGGAAGAGTACCCCACTCACTCACGTCTCCTCTTCTCAGTGCGTTTTATGGATTGTCCGGTGGGTGTGCAGCAGCCTGCGTGTGCACGAAAGCGCTCGAGTTACCATCTGAGGAAAGGGAAATCATTGTAAATCCCATTCAGGCCGCATGCATCCTTTGGACAAACGGAAAAAGACGCGTGTGCGGGAGAGTCCTTTCCTCTGGCTCTGCGCTGGGAGTCGTTCTACTGGACACTTTTTATTCAGGCATCAAGCGAGCGCCACCTGAGTCAGACGAACCGACACCTTTTCAGCGCCAGCCCGCCAAAATAACAAAGGATCTTTTTTTAATGTAAAGTTAAAACTTTTTTGTTGTACAACACTGGACCGGAGATCTGGAGATGAAGAGAGAATTGGCGCTTTTCTGTCGGACTTGGATGGGACTTGCATGCGCATCAGGTGAGCAAAGTTTGGCACGACAACAACATTGATGTAATGTCGACTTTTTACTGGAAAACTGGTGAGTTTTTAATTGTTTATTTAAAATTTGTCAAGTTTAATTGCCTTGAATTTCATCATACCGACATTTTACAGCCAACTTTCGATTTTAATTGGACCAAGATAGGCCCTTGTTGATTTATTTGACCGTCTTGTTAAACTTGTTGCATTCTAATTGGGTGTCTTATGAGGGTTTTTTTTTCTTAGAAGAGTGAAAGATGGTGCACAAATCGTTGATGAAGTGGGTTGTGAGAGTTGGTGCTGATGATTGTGGAGGTATGCAGGCTACATCATAGTGGGAGTGTGGCCGAGAGGGTCATACAAGTGTAAATCTCTTAAAGGGAGTCTCTTTACCTTATCTTGTAGTGTAAATCATAGGCTGGAAAATAAACCCATGATATAATTAACTAGAGTGGGCTTGAGAATGGTTGCTGATTGATTGTAGCCTGCATTATAGACTAGTGCGGTTTTATCCAATGACAAGGGAAAGTCTGCATTTGTGAGTGTTAGAACAGCTGTTTATAAGGAACAGGGCATATTTTCGTGATGGGCCTTTGCCATATGGCTGGTCACATCATAACCGCCTCAATACATGGCTTGAGTTTCATAAATAAGAGCTGTAATGACTGGCTCCCATTAAGACGTATAAACAAATGTCAAATGCCCTTTTAGCCTAATGCCCATTCAGTTTTATATTCAGCTATTATGCAGCAAATCATAATTAGTACTTCATTTACACATGCATTTTTGTGAACTGCACTTTGTCACATGTTCTAGCCCATTAATGGTTCTAATAGCTATACTATTCTTGATACGTGATGTGGGCTTCCTCTGATGGCACTTTCTGTTGAGATTACAATGAGTTTTTCTTTTAAAGACTTTCATGGCTTGTTTTGTTTGGCTTTGGCACAGGTCACGTTAGGATACTTTTGGTTAACTCATTCACTTTGGTCTGTTCAGTCTTGACAGTCCAGGTTAAGATCTTGCTCAACTCCATTTAAATCATTCAATTACTTTACTTCTGTTGCAGTTCATGCACTTTTGGAACAGAGAAATTATATGTTAGGAGTTGAAAGGAAGGATTTTTTCAATTAGCTTTCAATTAGAGTTTTAATGTATTTTAATGCAGAAAATGCTCTTTGTATTTAGATTACCTGTCTCTGCGAACTTCGTGTAAAGACGTCATTAAAGTATATTACATTTTGAATTTACCCTGTGTATTCATAATCTTTCAAATATATAGTCTGACCTCAGTATATTCTAATGAATATGTATCAACAGTTGCATAATGATTTTCCTGTCATTCTTGTTGACAGATCCTGGCAGTATAATTCACATTTGAAATCCAAATGCCTGACTTTGCACAGAGCACTTATATTATTCCATGTTTACATCTTCAAATGAACATATGGGTTATCAACTATTCAAACTATGGCTATAATTTACGGTTGACGGCGTGTTTATTGCCATTATTCTGTCATACCTTATTCCTGTTGAACTGTGCTTTGAGTGTTGGTGATATTAATATGCACCTTGGAAACCCTGCCTCATTAGGAAACTGTCTTAAGTCTCCTTTTAAATTGGAGGACTTTTTTGAAAGCTATTGGGGATGTTGTCTCTAGCACTGCACTCATGATTATCGCAATCAAAGACTGCACTTGAAAGCTGCAATGTTTCCCTTAAAGCTAAAGCAATGATGGTTTGAGTTGTTATTGCTATTTTAGGCACACTGCTCAATCAGATCATCTCAGAAATCTGACTAAACACAGATTATTTTTGTAGAGGTCCTTTGAAAGTTGTTTTAGCCCACAACGGCTCCTGAGCCAACATCATAGGAGAAGACTGAGCATCTGCCCTTAAATATCTGGGAGAATACTGTTCATTGTGGGAAGGGCTCCACAGTGAGTAGTCCAAATAAATACTGCTTTTTTCCTTTGCTCATTACCAGTCAAAAGTGCCCTCTCTCCCTCAAGCCAACCTCAAATATCACTACTGCTGACTGATAAGCTCTCTCAACGCCAGGAATCTGTGCCGCGTGCCAAGTATGTGTCCGGATCGGTGTTGGGTGCGGACGAGAACCATCTGTGGTATTTTTGTTTTCA